GTCCAAACAAAGCATGTTTCAAACATAGTTGAAAATCAAACTATTTAAAGCTATAAATGCAGCTTATGCCCGTGATCTCCAAAGCATAGGCCTGTAATAAATTTACTATGCAGATATAAAGTTGTTAATTATTTTCTCCCACAAGATGACAACTTCTGCACACAAGATAAAAAATAAAATCACCTTTTGCGACTTTAAGGGCTCCACAAATTTTAATTGACACTTTCCAAGCCAGAGAAGACAAATTAAACACTGAAGTCAGTTGCTGCAGTATTGGGTAGCGGTTTGGAATTAAAACCTAAAGAGACTCTTTGCCCTATACACAACTTCAGAACTATTTTTGTGCTACAAAACGTTGTGGTCTATGTATAAAATAAATATTTGACTTGTGTACCTCGGTTTCAACAGGAGAGCCTGGGCATCGATCAGAAGCAGATCCACAGAGAAAGAAACTCTGATGGCCAACATGGGCCTGCCTTTTGAAAACTATGATTCTGACTCTGAGGTAAATACATCTTTATAAATTAAGACATGTACCTGAATTTATTTCAGAATATGAAGCACATTCTCCTCCAAATTCAAATTTACTTGTGGTACATTTTACATACAGTGAAGTGTCTTCATTATTTGGCAAGGTTCCTGATTATTTCTGCTCTGTTTTATATCAAGTTGAAAATGGTCTGATCTTCTCTTCTCCAGGAGCTGGACTCCCCAGTAGACGTAAAGAACCCCCCACTCGCATTAAAGTCACTCCAGCCTAAGTAGATTTCTGCATCCACTGAAATATGGAACTTTGGCATCCTGTAAACACCTGGTTGTCACTTTATATCAGATATCAATAATAACTGAGGATGCATGTCCCTGTTCCTGAATTTCAACATGGTGATGCAGACTGCCAGTAATAAACATGATATAAGATGAACCAATAACCAGTCTCTGTTTCAAATTCTCTCTGACAAAGGAAAAAAAACATCTGAAGGTTCTCACTAAAGTACTGATGGAGGTATCTAATGAGCTTCTGCACTGACATTGAGAAAAAATGTTCTAATGCTGATTGGTCAGTTTCAGTCCAATCTAATAAAAGATTAGCTTGCACAGCATGTGTGTGTTTGACATTCGACTCAGTGAAATAGCAAGAGTTCTTAAAAATCCAGCATATTAGAATTGACAAATTATGAACAAAAATAACTCCATATCCCAGACTTGGAGCAGACAGATATTTCATCATGTCTAATCTGTGCACACTCGCTTTGTGTCATTGTTTGGCTGTTCTGATGTTGCTTCATGTTTCTCTAACACCTACTGTATGTACAGTATGTGTGTATTGTTTATCTTCCTAATACTACTGTGGTGACACTTCTTCAGTGTTGTCTTATTCATGCTTACATGTCTGTCCGCTGGGTGTGAAGTGTGTGTCTGTGTGAATGTTTGTCACACACAAAAATCTCTTCAAACATCCCCTGAGCAAGAAGGAAGGATGCCTTGCGTCTCTACCTGCAGGTTGACAGTTACTTTTAGCAGATGAGCCGAGTTTAGCTCAATTAATAGACTGTGGGATCACATAGCAGGTCCTCTCAAAAGCAGAATAATCCTGCGTATACCATCCAAAAGTGACAGTTTAATACTTGTGTGCTTGTTAGCCCTGTGTTAACATCTTATTTTTCTCTCATTTCACTTCATGTGTACCGTCAAAATCCTGTCACAGCTCTCGTCAGTCTGTAGCCATTTTACAAACTCATACCAATTTCAACCAAATGCTTCCTTGTGGCATTTTGGTTCCTTTTTTCAAAGAAACTTTTTTTTGCATTAAAGGTCCCTTTGTTAGTTTACTTCCACCTATCACCCAGACTTGATCCAGAGATAGTGAAGACATGTGATCACATGTTTTTACTGCTGTATTTGTTACGTATTGCGTGAACGGCAGCACAAGTAAGAGAAAATGAAACTGAGTGAGAAGAGCCTTGATGATCAGCAACATCTCATGTCCTGATAAGTTTTCCTGATCCTTAGATGGATGGTATCTTGTTTCACTGAACACATGCAGCGACTTTTTAAAACTGGGTTTAGGTTTGAACTTTGACATACAGATGTAGAGGTACAATTGAGCGAGCCCTCACCTTTGTGATATTTTTCACCTATTCTCTGTCTCCAAAAGTGTGTGTGGGGGCGGGGGTGCGTGCATGGTGAGCAGAAGTTGTGCACGATCTTTCTGACTCCACCTCATACTGGAGATACCAGAAGTTGAGAAAGCAAACATAAAGTATGAATGTATCTGATGCAAATTTCTACCTGGAGTGAACTCCCCTATCTGAGAGTACAATAATGTGTGTGTGTGTGCAGTGCAATGTAAAAAGATTATGCACATGTATTTTATTGTGATAGAATATTTTCTTATGGGGAAATATGCAAGCTATATAGATGATTCTGTGGATACTGGGAATATTTAAATTTTAATATTTTAATTTCAGTATTCATAATTTAAAATATTCCAAGTGAAAAGCCTTGGAAAAAACATCATGCAAGAGCAATACTTCTGAATTCAGTGTACCCAAACCTGGTATCACATCAGCAAATAGATTAAAATCATGCCCTATAAATGCTGCTAATATATGTCGTAGATTTATCTCGCAAGTTAACTTTGAAGACAAACTGATCACAGTGCAAAAGGGTGGGTTGACAGGGCCTCTCTTAACTTCCTGTAAACTGGACTATATTAGAAAGCAGGAAATTAAACTCGTCTCTCAACATGATCCGGAAGCTTGATGGGAAAGCGACAGCTACACTTCCTGAAATTAGCCAGTCTTTTAACCTGATACTCCCGAGGCCGTCCTGTTTCTTTTATGTGCCCTTTACCTTTTGTTTAGGAGGTGTGCCTCTTTGCATAGCTACTACATGCTATGTGGCGTGGCAAAACATGAACGCTGATTAGGTGCCTTTGGGATTCCTATTCACACTCTGAACCCACCTCACATACACATACACGTTCTGCTGAATTAATGTCAGTCCATCAGTATCTTGCTTGCTGATGACCAGTATCTTTTGTTGTGATTTTCTCTGAGTCTCATACAATATCTCATCTTTTCCATCACCATCTTCTTTTTAGATCAAAGATGCAACCTCCTCCAGTACATGTGACTTGAATGTCTCGAGAGGTAACCATGTTGGCTGACTGTAGACATTTAATGGTGACAGTTTGTGCTTTCTCTACACAGCTATCCATTGTATCACTAACACAAGCTTTAGTGAGGACTGATCACCCACCATCCTCAAGGTTCTCCACGGAGACCCCGAGGCTAGATTGGGTGTCTAATCCCTCTGGCATGTTCTGGTCTGCCTCGTGGTCTCCTACACAAGGCAGACCCGGAAGCATGTGGAGAGGTGTTATGATCAGATGCTTCAGTGTGAGTGTAAAAATTGTGTCAAAGAAAAAAAAAAAAAAAAAGGTGATGTAGTTTTCTTGTTTGGTCTCATGTTGTGTCATTAATCCTGTGAATTAACACACACACATGAAGTAGAATTGGCGAATGAGTCTGACAGTCAGGACACAAGCTTGACAACAAAACGGTGGACTACCAGTTTTGTACCAGTACTGAACAGTCATACAAACACAGCACAGTTAACAAAAACATTTTGACAACATTTTATATTATGCACAAAGTATTGAAAAATAATGTCCATGTTGTTGCTAATTAGAAATATGTTTCAATGGAAATTTACAGGCAATGCTATTTTCATTTGTCACTCTGTCTGGTTTAACAGGTCTTAAAGCACGAAAAGTTGTAATGTTTAGCGAACACCCAAATATTTAAGGTTAGGGTTTAAATCTTGATCAGAAATGAGTTGTTGGCAAAAGGGCAGATGTGTGTCAGTACCTGATTTGACGGGAAGACGCAGTCTTGCCAGTTTATCCCCCTTATCACTATTAACTGACTTTTCAGACTTCCTCTCTGAGTTATCAAATTTACAAGTAAATAAAGCCAAAATTACAGCATCTTCTCTCTTGATGATTTTATGAGATGGCATCTTGATTATAAAAAAAATTAATTTTAGCAACAGCAGAGCAGCAGCTTGGGAATTAACATGTCGTCTCGATGGGCTGGTTTCAGTCACTATTTCAAACTTGTTCCGTTGTGACGACAGTGACAGGAAAACAAATGAGAACAGCTGTATTGGGAATATGGTTGTAGTAAAACACTATATGTGAGCACAGAGAGGAGGAGAGAAACAAACGGATAAAGAGCTGAAACCGGCTGACACTTGGGATAATGCAAATAGCCTACAACGCAGTCCAGCCTTAGACTAGGTTTTGACCTCATCTTGTTTATATGAAGCTTAAGAATATAAAACAGAATACACAACATTTTCTGACAATTACACAACAGATGATTGGACTGCTGCATGTTCCTCAGGCATGTCAGTGTGCCAGCTGAGTCTTGTTCTAACTAGCCTTCTCCTCCTTCCATCCCCCACTGGTCTGGCAATCACACCTACTGTTCTTCAGAATAATAGTCCTCAGGTAAGGGTGTGTGCATGTTTTTGTGTGTGTGGGTGTGTGTGCGTGCATGCGTGTGTGTATGCCCGTGCGTGCACATTTGTGTGCGTGTGTAAATATGTATATTAGTTCTCAGGTCAATTTGAGGTGTTTAATGTCATCAAACCAAAGCCGTTTTTAACATTTTTACACATAAATTGTACATTACTTTGTCTATTTTATGTGGTGTGTTACTCCTTATTTGACATCCTATGAGCGTGAGCTGTGCCTATATCAGTCAGCGGTTAACTGAAGCATACAATTAGCACTCTTCTTGAGAAATGTAAAGTTGGTACAGGGATATTTCGTGTGAGCGTGACTGTGTATTTGACTAAGCCCATTCAAAGATAAAGCAGAGGGTGGAGAAGGTGATTTTAGGTGTGTGGGTTTGTGGGAAAAAAAAAACAGGCAGGTATTCACAGGTCTCAGCTTTCTTCCTCTTCCCCCCTGCCTTTAGTGGTAGATTCCCTCACTGAAAGAGGAACTTTTTTTTTTTCTTTTTCAAGGTCCCAGGAGCTTGAGCACCGGAGGACTTTACAGGAAAAACTTAAACTCCACAGCCGTACATTTTGGGACGCCACAGCTGCATTCTTTGCTTTTGTGAGTAGATGGGATTTTGATTTTGTTGTATTTTCCTCTTTCACTACATGCCTGCCCTGAAGCCAGTGTTGAACACAATCTTCCTGTGTTGGTGGGAAACCTGAATGACGACATGCTTTGAGAGGTATACTTCAACACCACTACCTTTATCAGTTAGCCTGCTATGCTGAAGAGCTGTGGATAATGGTCAGTCTTGTCTCTTAAATCTTTGAAATGGCTTTTCCACACCAGCGAATGTATTGTATAGGTGGCTGTGATGCAACACTTTGTTTTAGAAGTCAGCTTAAGTCTACCTGGCTCAGAATGGAGTTAGAACATGCTCTGGGTTTCAAAGAGAGCCTAAAATATGTCATAAATGGCATATGGATGTATTATGCTACTCTTTCTGCTATGTTAGTTCACTGTTCAATATACACTTTTTGTTTTTTAAGTTTAGTTGAATCATACTGTGTCCCTTAGCTTACATTGTGTTATTTGCACAAGGTCAATGTTTGTTTAAATAGGAGCTGATCACAGGCCACCCTGGCGCCAGCTGAGTCAGTCATCTTGTTGTTTTTCTAAAATGTCCTGAAAAATATATAAAATATGAAAAATAATATCCTGTCTCTGTTACTGCCAACTACTTAGCGGTGTTTCTCATGTTGAAAGACTAGCTCAAAAAAAAGAAAACACGCTCACATTTTTCGTTATGGCAAAATGTGCAATCCTACAAATTGTCTCTTATAGGGCTGTACGATATACAAAAAAATATCATTGAAATTATTTTGGCAGATATTGCAATTGCAATATGAGTCACAATATCAGTGTTTTTTTTTTTGTTTTTTTGCATTTTCACAAAAACATAAAAATGATGATGATGGGATTTTTGTTGGGAATTGTACCAAACAAACATGTTCTTTTATGTCCAGAGAATATGATTTGTAGGTCAGGGCATCTCTTTATTTATAATGGTATGTTGTGATACATTTTACCAAGTTGTAGCTCCTACAATTTGGATATTGCACTTGGCCATATTGAGATGTTGATAATATTTCAATTTCTTGTTCAGCCTTAGTCCCTTAAACTACTGTGTGCCGGCAGGCTGTCTTGTTTTTTTATTGGACATTTGTTTGTGGTGATTTAAAAGTAAAATATATTTGAGGGCGGGCCGCCACACAACAACGAGCTCACAGTCTGTGTGTGGGCAATGCAATTTCTTTGTAATAATACACCATCTACACATCAACTCCGAAGCTGCCCTACATACACAAAGTATGTTTTGTTTGATTGGTTTGTTGTTTTTTTTACCAGTGTAAAAATAGAAACATAAAAACAAGACTTAGTGCTAAATAAGTCAGTTTTTTGTGATTATTAAAATGAAGCATGAATTCATGTTTCATCTCTTCATCATGTTTCCCTTTTGTGTTTTAGGGTGTGTCTCGTCCATCCATTCATCTCATTCCTCTCCAGTTCTCCTTCCACTCCCTTAATATACCAGTGTTTCCTTCCTTCCCTCCTTCATCCCCATTTTCTGCAATGTCCACCACTTTACCTCCTCCCCAACCAAGAGGCATGGACTACAGCCTCCCCACCTGTGGAGAGACTCGGTGCAATAGCCATGGTACTTGTATTGTTCCTTCTGGTGGTGGTGCCAATCTGGTGTGTGACTGTGACCTGGGCTACCGCGGCGAATCCTGTGAGGATACGGTCAACGGGGCGTTGAGTGTACCACTGACCCTGAGTGTGGTGGGCGTCATCATTGGGGTGCTAATCCTGGCTTTCGTCCTTGCCAAGCTGCGACAGAAGCAAAAGATGAGACACAGGTATTGAAACATATCAGGAGTGCCATGAACAGGATATACAGGCATTTCTGTTGTATTTCTGTTCCATTTGTTGTTCTTCAAGGAATAGTTAAAGGCTTATTTGCTTTCTTATCAAGAGTGAGATAGAAGAATTACATCAATGTAATTTCTTTGCATTAAAAACTGAGCTACACTATACAGTTAGCCTAGCTTAGCATAAGGACTAGAAGAGAAGGGAAATGGTCTGCAGTTACTGCATCCCTTACATTAGTGCAGCTGGCATGAATATTTGGTACTGGTAATAATTAGGGCAATATCTGTGTAGCCGGACAGTAAAAATAGATTGTAATGTTGTAGTTTGGCAGTTAAAAACCTGGGAACTGACATTATTTTAGCACTCAATTTGTTCCTCCATGTAACTCAAAAGAAAGAGCTAGAACAACAGAGAGATACATCTTAGTATGAATCACATGCTAGTTAAGGTTAGCAAGCTAAGCTAAATATATTCCACTCGGATCATGGAAGGTAGTTTACAAAAGGGGAAGTATCTTGTTCAAAACCAAAATCTGTGATTACTGACCATATCGTGCAACCAATGCAATAGCTAGGTTTTTTTAAATTAATATACTATTGAACTTTAGCGCTATGCTAGTTTCCCCCACTTGCAGTCTCACTTCAAAGTGTTGAAGCTATGTCCTGATTCCAGCACTGTACTTTACATACAGGATTGATATCAATCCTGTTATCTCACTCTTGACAAGAAAGCAAATAAGCATGCTTTCTGAAATGTATGATGTTGAGCTATTCCTTTTAATGCTCAGTGGCTGGGAACACTTTCCTGTCTTTTGAACAGTGTGTATATTTAATGCATGCTGAAAGTGGCTATGTGCTAAACAGTGGTTGCTTTATGTTCCCACATGAACAAATATGCTCACCTGTTGTCCCTTCACCTGGTTGAAACAACCAGTTACATCAACATAAGATGAGAAAATGTTCACGAAGTAATTGTATGTTTTTGCCTGTTGTCAACAGGAGAAATGTGGCAGAAAAATATGGCTATAACATTGCTGTGTGATGAGGAGAAATCTCCATTTTATCTCAGGTAAGAGAATGGCTGGAAATATTCATTATTTATAATTTAACATTTTGGGAAAGTGTGTGAGAATAGATGATCTGTATTATTATGCCTTAGGTGAAATTCAGGATTGTAAAGTTTGTAAAAAAAAAAAAAAAAAAATTCTATAATTCAGTTTTAATATAATCATTGTTTTTTTTTGGCATTTTACTGCCACCAACTATCAGAGCAGAATGTGAAATGCCGTGCTCTAATGGACACAAGGATACACATTTTTTGTGCACAAGCATAATACAGAAAAAAAATAACAAATGGGCAGCTAGTGTTGGAATCTCAACATTGCACTACCAGTGGTAAAACTTCCACAAACTACCTTAAGTCACAAAATATATGTATCTAACATCTTTGAGTGTCTAAATGTGGATTTCAGGACAGGAACCATGCAATATTTTTTAATTTATGAAAGACCAGAAACTTTTGTTACTATGGTTAAGAGACAACAAAAAAGAAAAAAGATAACAGTAATTACTTTCTCATTCTCATCCAGGTCAACCATGACATTGTGGCCAGTGACCCTATTGAGCTTCCACAAGCTTTTCTCTGCAGTGAGCTTGCAGTTTGTTTAAGTGGGAATCTTGCAAAAATGGAATCAGGGTTTACTCTTTTACTGTGATGCCTGACCGCTGACTACTCCTGTATGACTAATGCTGCAGCATGCCAGAAACTCCAATACTGAACTTATGAACTGAACTTTTACTCTGCAAGGGAGTTGGCTGAGGGATCAGTCTGTTCTGTCCAACTGTGGGCGACACCCTGATTTACATCGACTGTTTAATTCTGCACACTGCCAGTCCATTGTGATTTATAAAGGAGGTAGTGACAAATAGTGACACAACTTCACTTCTGTAACTATGTTTTACATATTTCAGTCAATGATGGAAGAATCACTTCAATTTATATCCCAGCAGACAAATGGCATGCATGTAACTTACAAACCCCCCCCACCCACCCCAGAGTTCTCAGGTAGTTCATGCATGTGTATAACACTAGCATTTTACCTGGAGAAGTATTTCGACTGATGATGTAATACAGTGCCAACAATGCCAACTCTACAACATCGGAGATAAAAGTTAAAAATGAGAATTCTTAATAAAAATGATTGATACTTGAAAAACATAGTTTTGGGAATGAGGTCTTGTTACTGCCATTATTTGCTTATTAGAGCAATAAAAATATATTTAGATTTCCTGTATAGTGCATTGCATTGTATTATATACCAGCTACAAGTTTTGAACTTGCAATTTACTTATGTTTTTTTTCTTTTCTTTTTTTTTTGCTTATAATTATAGTGTTATTTAAACAGTTGTTAGTATGACTATTTACAGGTAATGAACTATGACTAAAAATAAAACAAAAAACGACCATTTTGGTGTTGGGCCAACCCTGTCTCCTAAAAATATGTTTCTGTACAACTAAAGTGCAAAAGCACATACGTTTTGTACGAAATGTATTTGCAACAGGATTACATTTTCTATTAACATAATGCGGAAATATTGTTAACTTTTATCTTTTGGAAGTCACAAATACATTGATGTTGAACACATCAATGAAATATTCACAGACAACATATTTATTTTCCTTGTTATCTTGCAGTACCATATCCACTTAGTAGTGACTACAGCGTTATTAAACTTTTTATGGTTATGTTTAGGCACTCACAACTTAGGGAAAGATTGTTGTCTGGTTTAATACAGAAAGAAGCAGTTCACAGTTTGTTCATTTACATTGAACCAAAGCCATGATCTTTCCCTAACCTTAACCAAAGTGCTTTTCTTGCCTAAAACTAAACACAGATGGGACTCTGGTCCGCTGCTGTTTATAAATATAGTGCTTCATTCTTTCAAAAAAGTATGTTGCCACTGAACATGATCCAGCCAGAGATATGATTTCCTACAAAACATTTCTGCAAATTGAAATTCAAAATCCTATAGGACAGATAACTGGAAAAGGTTTGAGAGTAAACAAGGACAGAATCATCACAGAAAGTTCATAAAAGCAGTTGTGTCTCTAGATTTCCTCTTGGTTTTCCACATTGTGAGCTTTCATGCTTCCTGTGTCTGTATGCCTTTAAATCAGCCCCTGAGCTATAGTTTCAGATTGAATATCATTCAAATTTGTTTTGATAAACCTCCATACCTCACTGAATAATCAAATTACACTAGCCTACATAACTTGATTAGCCAGTGTTGTGCTTTTATCCGCTGTATTATTTGTTTATTTTGTACACTTCTGACTGAAATACTGTTATATGTGCCATTTTTGTAACTATTCATAACCACAAGCTTTAGCAACATGCATAACTTTTTATAACTTTTGTTCCCCAAACTCTCAGTAAACAAGGAAAAACGGTGATGGTTTTTATTTCCACTAAACACACATTTGGCAGTCTGAGTCTAATCTGGCACCTAATAGGTACAGAAATTACTTTACCAACCAATTATCATCATTGATCCTGGAAAAAAAAGAATCTTTTTAACAGCACTGACCAAGAGAGAAGACAGTGCTATTTCAAGCTCTACCGAAACCAAAATGTGTGTACACACCTCCTCAGATCCTGTTTTGCTTCATTTTAAGATTCCTTTCCTGTCACAGATGTTTGGCACAGGTTTGAAATGTAGCACTGTTTTAATTGTCCTTTGGCTTGATTATTCTTTATGAACAGGTTGTACTGTTATTTTTACATTTACTTTTACTGATTTTATTAATAAGTCTTCTGATGCTATATATTTCTATATCTTGATAATATGATACATCTTTTATACTTCTATGATCTCCTGTCAACTCAGTATAGAACTCTCTGTCTGGGGTAAACTGACTTCTGTATCCACATCCCTACAGTTTTCAAGGATGTCTGCTCTTTTGTTCTATTTCATTGGCATGTATACGTTTTAATTATCTATGCACAAGACAATATTGCTTCACTGTGCTGTGCAGGTCTTCAACATTTTGAATAAATCCATCAGTGCAGCTGTGTTACATTTATTTTAGATGTATGTTCTCTAGCTTTCAAATAAAATGTACAAACACCCCAACAACAAGTCAGTAACTACTGGATAAATGCCATATATGTGTGTAAATAAAGTCACTGACATGGTCAAGTTTGATTTCCTTTAGTCAGTACCTCAGGTAAGATTTGCAGGTTTTTGCCAGAAAATTAAAAGAAGAAGAAAAAAAAAGTTTCCTTAATATCATGAGTTATTTGGAGCTCTGTTAGACTTTACATGAAACACATGAACAACTATTGGATTTTATTTGGACGATCAATATTTAGTATCAGTTTACAACTCAGTGCATAACTTGTCTCATCAGACTGTCTCTTGTTATTATAAGAAATCCATTAACTTGCCAAAGGTACTGTATATTATTTTATAAGGAAATGTTATCTAAAAGTCTTAAGTTTAGTATCAACATTTGACATATTGATAACAAGATATCAATAGTATTATTTATGTCAACCAAGTAATAGTAATCCAAAGTAATTGTTTTGTCACTTTCATTATTAAGTTGTTACAATGTTCTTCCAGACTGCTGTAAGGTGTTAATGTATATGAACAGTAACAACAGACAGCTGTCAGTCAGTGATGTTGCTATGTCACCTGTAATGAGCTATATTATTATCACATATATACATTATCTGGATATATGAAGATATAAGTTTATAACCTATTTGAAATACTCATAGTAACATTTGTATATGTACATATATTGAAATTATCTGTGATTAACTTTTTATATGGTATAACGTGTTGCAAGCATAGACTATTTGTTGGACCCCAATGTATATAATATCAATATACTGACCGGCTTTGGGATGGATCTATATGTAACATGTCTACAATATAAGCAAGCATACATAAATATACATATGCCATGTGAAACAATTTCCAATAGTTTGTGTTGTTTTTATTTTATATGTACATATATTTTATATATGGAAATTCAATATATGTACATATATTACATTTGCTAAACAGCTGCATCCAGGAACCACCTAGTCTGGATTTTGATAAAACTAATATCTTAATAACCTTTATTTAACCATTAGATTTTATTCAGAATCTTTCATTATTTTCAAAAACAAGTTTAGAATGTGACAGAATGGAACTGATGTCATAGAGCAGTATATAGAACTTTCTGACAGCAGAACAAGACAGTTGATCAGTGTGTGTAGAAACTTCAGACAGTGCAGACGCATTATAATATTTTGTCGACATTTCAACTTTTAATTTTCAAACTGCAACAAACTTGCTTTTGAATTTGATCTCTCTCCATTTATTGTAAACTTGTTGTGCTAGAGTTACATTGTGACTAAACATTGTGTTCACATCCATCCTCTGTTGTTTTCCTCCCAGCAACAGGTGTCCCATCTTATGATGGCTTCAAAGATGTCCTCCACTGCATGTGCCCAGGAAGACCAGTTAGTCCCGGGAGGCTGCCTTGCCTCTGGATCCTCCCGGGACCAGCTCCAGTCTTTCCTGGGAGAAGGCGGTTTTGCAAAAGTTGCAAAATGCACCAGGATGGATGACATGAAGACCGTTGCCATCAAAATATTCAAGGACAAAGGTTGTATTGTTGAGGCAGCAAATGCAGAGGTAGGAAAAAGTCTTGCCTAACTGGAAACCTGGACATGCTTATCAAAGTTTTTCATTGTGTACCATTTTTCTGATAATACTTTGTACAGAGGTTCCATCGACTGTATTTGGAGAAATACTTAAAATAATATGTACTGCCTTGTCTAAACTTGTGTCAAGCTAATATAAAGTCTGTGACCTGTCATATATATCCCCAGTTGGCTGCACTTCGGAAACTCAAATCGCTGAATGCGGACAAATGCAACCCTGTCCAGTGGTACCAGATTTTCACCAACAGAGGACATATTTGCCTCGAGTTTGAACATCTGGATAAAAGTCTTCACGATTTCATGCAGGAAAGATACTTCCGACCTCTCCCTCTGAAGGAGATAAGACCGATTGTCCAGCAGGTATGTCCTACTGTTTTCCTCTCTGCCTTATAAAACAGTTTGAAAATAGATATTGGTGGAATATTGTTGAAATTAGTATTAAATGTATGACTTTAAATCCTTTTCAGCTCGCCAACGCACTCTATTACTTGAAGGCTGCTTGGATGATGCATGCAGACCTCAAGTTGGAAAACATGATGTTGGTCAACCATCAACATGAGCCCTACCGGGTCAAAGTGATTGACTTTGGCCTAGCCTGTGACGTTTCGTCTGTCACACTCTGTCTCCTGCTCCTTCAGCAGCTTGTCTGTCTCCTGCTGTTGTTTGGGGATCTGCTGCCGGGCCTGAATGTTGTAGGCCTGCCGATCTCCTTCCGTGATCCTGAATTGTCTTTTCAGTTTGGCTGTCTCTGATTCTGTACCATCAGTATCCATCTCAATGCTGTCTGAGTGCTCACTTGTTGCCGATCTTCCTCGAGCCATGGTTACGCTGGGCTCGACAGCTGAACGTTTAAAGAGTAAAAGCCCAGTGAACCTCTCAGGATAAACAGAAGGCGCCCAATAGCCTGAGTTGTTAGCATCCGTTGCACAACCATGATGCACTGAGCGCTCTCTGTCTCTCTATCTCTCCCTCCCTCTCTCTCTCTCCTCCTTCTCTCTCCTCCCTCACCCCCTCTTTCTCCTCTCAAACCCAACCGGTCGAGGCAGACGGCCGCTCACCCTGAGCCCGGTTCTGTTGGAGGATTCTTCCTGTTAAAAGGGAGTTTTTCCTCCCCACTGTCACCGAGTGCTTGCTCTTTGTGGGAACTGTTGGGTTTCTCTCTATAATAAAGTCTCGACCTTACCCTGTAAAGTGCCGTGGGATAATGTATATTAAATAAATCAAGTTGAAATTAAATTTAAAATAATTGGAGGAGCAGGCCAGCCGAGCACCGAACACCACCACCACAATGCACGTCCGTCATGCAGCACCATGATGGAGAGTCCGGCTCAGTCAGAATTGAAAAGAAAAAGCATCTGATGATGAAAATGTGCAGCCTAGAAAAACAGCCAATTATCCTCTGAGCCCTGGTGAGATAATGACTAAAAGAGATGCATGGCGTGTTTAGAGGGCAGGGGCAGAAGATGTAAGACAATGTACTCTAGGTGGATGTTACATTCTCTACCTTGCTGGTTAGGAAATGTAAATTATATGAAGTGTAAATTATTCTTCATGTTGTCCTGTCTTCTTTCCTAATATGTATAGAGTGCTGCAAGGATGATGTATTTTTGTAGGCCAACCCGTAAGTTAGCATCACCCTGGTTCCCCCGTCCAAGAGCCGATGGGAAATGGGAAAAAGAAAAGTACACTATCATAATGGGATAGACTAAATCAAACATGGAAAGAAACTGTTAAATACTCTAAATGATATAATGATATCAGTTTGAAGATGGAAGTCTGTGGTTAATTTTGGCAGCACTTAATATTACTGTATTTAGATTTACAGTAAAATCTTCCCAGAATGCATTGGAAATCTACAGTGACTACAACTAGAATACCACAATAATACTGTGAAAACAACAAAAATCATTTACAGTGTGGCTTGTTCACACACTAAAGCATGAACTGTTGCCTGTTTAAACTCTGTCTGGGATCCAGTGACAAGATAGCATGAACGTCAGTGTTTACTAAACTCAACAGGGGCCAGGATAGGGACTGACTGATCTGCACTGATGCAAGCTGTCCACCTTACAGTGTTTGTTATATGAGAAAATATGTATCCGTTTCAACAAGGAACTGGAAGGATCATCCATGAGGGCGACACCATGGTAACACCTGCTTTCCTATTAAAGAACAGACTGACTTTGCACACGTGTTTTACAGAAAGAAGAGCATGTTGAAATCATGGGGGGAAATGTTGGTGGTATTTTGACATATGCTAAATTATTAAAGGGAAACTCAACTCATTTTACTCATGATGGCCAGATTAGTAGGCTACAACTTCTACTTGGACATTTAAAAATCAGGGAGGGTGTAATGGAAAGATGCTACTGATTGCGTAATGGTAAATATATTTTTGGTGTGACTCATACTTGGGACTAAAACTCAGGGTATTTCAGGCTCTAATGCAATTTGGACAGTTTTTTAATTCATTTCTTGTGAGTCTCCCAATTTGCAAAATGCAATACTAAATCACTGGATTACAACTTTAATATGTTACATATTTATATGCTGCTTACATTTAGGATTTTAAGCCACTCACATGTACTTTGGCAAGCTGAAAATAAGTCTGCTCTTTCTGGTGTCTCATAATTTATCATTTTGTCTCCCAATAGTAACAGCACATTTGTAATGCTTTGATACATTGCACTGTACAGGACTGATGATGCAGGAATTTTAATGAACCCAACTGTGATAAAAAAAAGTTCTTATGGAGTTGATGTGCCGCCCTTGTGAATAAAGCCTATTAGACTCTCAGGGTTGATCATGCAGACTATAAATAAGACCATAATTTAAAAAAGTGATGTCCTTTGTCACATCCTAAACACTGCAGCTGTCATTACCCCACCTACGTCCAACCATTATATTATGAGTCAGTGCATTCTATGTGGCAATTTTATGGACAGTCGTGTGAACACAAGAAACACAACACAGCTTGAAATCCTCCTTCAGAAATCGACTCAAATGAAGAAGTTAGTGAATACAACCTTTTTTTTTCTTGGCTAGGGTCTGTTATTATTAGCATGAGAGTAAAGAATTAATTCTAATTAATATTAACAGTAACTGTGGAGACAGTAGCACATTATTGTCACTCATCCGATGGCCTGTTTTCATATAGAACCACGGCAGAGGAAGTGGGGCTGAAGTGGGCAATACAAACTCTTTCAGAATAAAACTCTGATGCAGCATTATCTGAACCTGATACATCCACTGAAAACAATGACGTCTGATGATTACGCTTTCTCATGAATTGGACTCTTCTTTCTACACAGTAAAAAGTGAGTATTTTTAATTACTGCTATCAGTCTAATTGGCTGCTTTATTGCATCCTTTTTATTTTGAGAACCTGTACATAATCTGTATTATGCTTTCTTTATGACAACATTCAATGGTTATACTGCTTTGTCAACTCAAGAATGATACATTATACATCTTGCATATTATGCCACAATTAGGAGGATTTTCCATTTCAGTTTACTTTTAATTTGTTGCAAACTTTGTAACACTAATAAGAAAATGTATTTTGAAGCATTGTTAAAGTAGAGGGAATTGGTTACCATAGGATGGCACATTGGCTGTTTAACTAAACAATCTTTTTGTGTAAGAAAAAAAATTCTACTTCATTTTTGTAATAACCACAGCTTTTTCCATTCCACATTTTACTATGCATTTTCCATCTGCTGATCCACTCACATGACGGTGTCAGTGCTTTGCTCCAGAGTCTGTGCCTCAGAAGGCAAAAAAACAACAAAACTGCTAAGCGCATTGTAGCTCAGCTGTCATTGGCTGTGGCATGTAACAGGTCCTGCAGGGAGAACTGCATTATGATTTCCTGGAGGCCAATTTAACTACAAAAGACTTACCAGGAGCTATACAGGGACAATTGTTCACTACAGTGTTGCCTTGTGTGAGATGTTAAGCCAGTTTAAACAGAAGAGGTAATGCTGCTAGACAAGTGGCGCAAATAAACCAACCTCTCAAACCGGTCTGGCTACATTGTCAGTATGGTTTTAAACTGAGCAGACTGGATGGCAAAGAAAGAAAAACACCACTGTAAAGAGTAGTCTGTTTGTACGTGTGTTTGAACAGTGTCCATTATGACTTCTCCCCTTCCTTTTGTTTATGAATCTGTGGCAGTGCAGGAAGCCATCACACTATATGGTTACAGATGATAAAGTACGTTATACTTTGCTTCTCTGAAATATGAACTTTTTTACAATTCTTGCACTAAAGGCAGAATTTGAACCTTTCTTGAGCCCTATGGGCGTGATGTGTTTGCATCAGTCAGACACTTAATGCACTTAACAGGGAAAGTCCTTAGACAAGCCTAAATCAATATGGCTCTCAATTGATGTTTTTTTCTTGTTTCACCCCTGCTTTTTAGAGTTCTACATTTCTTGTTTTTTTTAAGTTGTATTTTCTTTACATGCACTTCTGCAGTAAAATATAAAATATTCAATACTTTTCAGCCTTGTCTCCACCCAAGCAAAACAAAAAGAGTTCAACGATAAAGAGACTCAGTCATCTGTTATTCAGAAACACAGTGCACATTTAATAAAATAGCACTTGTATCACAGAGCATTGAGGACAATATCATCAACCTCAACCGGTGGCCCAAAAAGGTCGGCCGTAATTGTAAAGTGCATAAGAATACAGTATTTACAATAAAATCTGAAAAAAAAAAAAGAAAAAGGTTTATGCATCAGCCAATGAAACAGACAAATGTAAAAGCTTCCTTAAAGGTGAGAATATTTACAATTGGAGTTCAGCATCACTTGCAGAAGGCAAACTTCAACTTTACATCAATTTATCTCAGCTGTACTAAACAGTGTAGCTTTTGTTCACTGGTAAAGTAACACAGAATCCTTCACGTTCCAGACTTTCTTCATGGCAGTCTCTTTCCACTGTAATATTCAATAACTGCACAGCTTGAGGCACACATCTGTCTTACTATAAAGAATACAATTAATCATAATGAAGCTAAGCCTATAATTAGTCTCATCCTTATAGCCACAGCTGTCACTCAAACATCAAACATATTACTCTTTTATAGATGCGGGCCTTCAAGTATTACTGTCCTACACTGGTGAAACACTGTAATACTCAGAGGCATTTAAAGTGATTCTGCTTCACGTAATAGTGAGTTTACACCTTGTATTTTATAATATTTAAGGTATTTGATCTCTTGATACCACTGAAACATTCATTTATGGTCTCACAGTAATCAGTCAACAATGAGTGTATAGGGTGACTTTAGGTATTAGTTCAAGTTCACAATCTCTTCCAGAATATTATAAATGATTTCAGTTTTATTGTAATCATCTCTAGTATTGTTTTACTACAGTGGTCCAGATACATAATGCTTAAAGTCATCCTAATTACCATTGCTTCTTTATGGAATCTTTGCCAGTCTCAGTTCCTCTCAAGTTGTTTTCCTTTTCCTGTGGGTTTTTTTTTTGTTAAATAATGTCTCCAGATGTGGGAGATGTGCTTCTCATAGGTCGGCATCATAAGGTCTACCAGCGTAAGAGGTGTTGACTGACCGAACTGCGGGGCTCTTGGCCCGGGGGAAGGACACATCATCATCCATGGAATCCCTGGAGTATGGGACGCTGCTGGCGCTGCTCCTGGCCCGGTCCAGGGTTGGCACATTTACGCGTCTCGGCGGCGGCTTCTGGTGGCTAAACCGGTCGCCCATGACTTCATCAACCCGTGTCTCCCCTCGGTTCTTTCCTCCGCAGCAACGGCAGATCCCGATGAACATGACGAAGCCGCCCAGGATTTCAAAAATCCCGCCGATGTATCCCAGGATGATGCAGTAGCCGACGCGCACGTCTGTGAGCGCGGTCACCGATGTGATGTCTTCGAGGATGTGGGTGTACCAGGCGATGGGGATGATGGTCATGACGCCTGAGAGGAAGATCAACAGTCCGCCCAGGCCGGCCACAACCCAGTTAGGCCTGTCTTTCCAGCAGCGGACCCCCGGGATGGCCACGGCCAGCCCGATTAGAGTCACGATGAGGGAGGCTACCATCAAACCCTGAGCGACATTAATGATCTGCTGGTTGAAGTATTCGGTATCCTGCAAGTTGCACTCCTCTCTCGTGGAGGTCGAGGTGGCCCTGCAGATGTCCCAGATGCCTTGCTGGATGAACTCGTCCGGCGGGAGGGTGGTGGGGTGGAGGGTCCTCCAGTTTGGCGCCACAGTGGCGGTCAGGTCCAAGATCCAGCCACAGGGAGCCAAGACCATCCCGAAGATCAGGATGCCCGGGGTACGCAGGGACAACCGGATCCATTCCTCCGTTGATCGCGTCGGCATGATTGCGGCTGCTGTTGAAGTGCGTGCTCTTACTTCCAAACTGACTTTAGTAATTTAGACTCAAGTGTTTTGACAGCCCCAACAGCTGGCCTTAAAAAACAAGTCCGACTGAAACCTGCCGGTGGGCGTGGCTTCAGCCTTACCTGTCTGCCTCTGTCCCCAAATAGGACAGGTGTGGCGCGCCATGCGCCATCCTCACCCGCAACAGCAAAGGCGGGGAGAGTTTCGACGAGGCAGTTATCATGCAAATCTGTGATACGTGATAAACGACAAGCAAAAGAGCAACCAGTCAGAGAGGCGCCAGCATCATCAGCTTGCTCAAATTTCAAAATAATAAAATAACTTTAATATTTACAAACCTTTGATAAGTTACCCAAGTTGTTCCTTAAACGTTTTTATTGCATTAATAAAGGATTATAGTCTTAGGATACTGTTGAAATAGGCCTAAAATAGTCAAAAGTGTATGTAATATAAAGGAATGGACAGGTTACCACATGAACCAAAACAAATAAAATATATAATATAATCACCCACAAGGCTTGTGGGTGATTATATTATATATTACTCTTAGAGATTGAAGTGCTTTCTTATTTTGGAGAAGTTCGTTACAATCAGGTTTAGAAGAACAAGCCACACTCCTAGATTTGAAAAAAAACCCCACTATGGCAGTGTGGGAACTGTTTTGACAAGAATGTAGTTCTGCAGGAACCTTCAGGTCCAATACCTCCCTGCCTCTTTGTCTCTCTCTGTTTTCTTCTTCCCTCATTCTGTTTATCTCTATCTACATATATCTGTTTCTATTTATCTCTTTGTTTATTCTTGCTTTTTATCTCTTTTTCCATCTATGTTCACACACTTTATCAACTTTATCAATCCCACAGGAAAGAGGTCACGTTTCTAAGGAAATGAGAACAGCTGATGATTGGCCCCGAGACTTACTGTTGGAAATGACCTTTTCTCAGCTTTTAGTGGTCATCATCCATTAAACACCACATTAGATTTTTACTCCACTATGACAAGTTTTGTGATTAACTGCCATGTGTGGAGTCACCAAAATAGATATTCCTACATGACTTGTATTAACTGCTTTTTTTCAGTGGGAAAGGATGAGAGTTTGACCTTAATGTCGTCTGCAGTTTAGTTACCAGCAGCCTCTGTGCCAGCGTCAGTAAGTCACTAAGTGCTGTTATCAACTTTTCAAGTTTGTGTATTTTCTGTTTGTACAAGTCAAGGACATAAAACAAATTTTCTTGACTCTACAAATTCAAATTCAAATCTCATGTTCTTGAAGCTGCTGGGATCATTTTGCTTTTGTGTTCTGTGAATTGTTTTTCAGGTCAGGTTTGAGCTTTGACACACAAATAACAATTGGAAGAAGTATGACAGGTATGTCGCCTAACCAACCAGACAGAACTTTGCATACTAATCCTCTGACACCACAGTCGACTTTTATTAAGCTGAGTCACTGTTGTAGCAAGTATAATGTGATCAGCTGTTCAGCTTGTGGCGCTTGTGCATACACTTATAAAGCAAAGAGGATCAGTTGTGAGAATTGTATATTTTCACATTTAATTGTCATTTTGGTGCTGATACCTGATACCACGAACCCAACCACAGCACTACTTCAGCGTATGAACCAGCTTGTAGCCTGAGCTCCTCAGGCAGAGGTCTCTTAGTTGTTCCTGAGGCAAAGCTAAAAACTATAGGTGACAGCTTTTGCAGTCAGTGCCCTGAAACTATGGAATAAGCTGCCTGAGGAAATCAGGTCAGCAGAATCAGTGACCTCTTTTAAATCTCTTTGTAAAACACACTTTTATCATACAGCCTTTATTAATTGTACTTGTCTACCCGAGGAAAATTTGTCTCTGCGTAATAGATTTTATGGTTTGTACTCTTACTCTTACTGTTGAATTTGTATTTGATTCAGCTTTTATTGTCCACATTACTCAACTCTTTATTTTTTATGGTTTTATTGATTTTTACTGATCGCCCTCTTGCTGGCGATACTGCCTTTGGTTTATTTGCGCTAATACTCCGACACATTAATTGTACTTCTGATTTGCTTCTTTTAACTCTGTTGACTTATATAACCTGCATGTTTTATTCTGCTGCCTTGTGTAAGGCACAATGTAACGTGGGTTTAGAAAAGTGCACTATAAATAAAGATCATTATTATTGTTATTATTAGTTCCATTACATCTATGTTGTAGATGTATTTTAGGCTTAAATTAATTACATTATCTGTATCTTAAAATGATGAGATTCTCCAAATGTGCATAGGCCTATGTTTCCTCATACCTTTTCTGATAGTAATGACAGAAAGCTAACTCCTGCACGGGGCTTTGAGAGGGTAGGCCTAAGTCAAAATATTGAGAAAGTTACCCCTTAAATTGAGATACTAAGTCATTTTTTCATATATATATATATATATATATATATTTATTACATTGACAGAAATGAAACTTCTATAACATACTCTATGGAAAAGCATTGCTTACAGTTTTCCCAAGTTCTTCTAGGAAGCTTGACTCTTTCTTTTTATAAATGGAAAAATAATAATCTTGGTCAGTGTGTTTGCTTTTGAAAGTATTGTTTTTACATTATTCTAGACAGTTTTGGAAAATGAGTATGCACATCTTACAGTAAGAGGGTATTATCTATACTCTTAAACTGCATCTTAATGTGATATTGATACCTTTTTTTGTAGCATATTACAGTTGACTTAGTCTGTTTATGCCATTTGTAATTATTGTTGTATCAGTATTTTATTCTGCTCCCTTGGTCACGCTTGAAAAAGAAAATTTTGATCTCAGTGAGACTTTAATTATCTGTGTTCCAGGTTTTATTTCTGAGTGTCACGGCAGTGTTGAATGCAGTTTATGTGATCGGCATCTGCAGTTTCATTAAGCATGGCATTTGTATTGCAGATCACATCACAATTCGTTGCATACTGCATTTACAAGGTGCTATAATTGGTGGATATGATTCAGGGAGACAAACATACATACATAAATACCACTGACACACAGTAACAGATTCCTCAAGCACTTCAGCCAGTGTATGAGTGTAAATTGTGTACACAGTGTATGTGATCAGTTGAATTTAGTGTAAACACAGCACTCACATGCCTAAGCATCGCAATGATGGTTGTAGCAAACTGTAAATCAAACACTACACCATTGTATGTTTTGTCAGGGTTCATCAAATTCATGAAGAACATAAATGTAAAACTTTGAAACTTTACTTCACAGTGCTAATGACTGTGGATGCTGGACTTGCCTTGATATGTGTCTCAGTATCTCAGTCATTAGTGAGAAGGTCCTTGGCTCAAATCACAGCCATCTGTATTGTTTTCATCTTGTTTGTATTCATCTGGTTTCAAGTGTTCATCTGGGTGCTCATGTTTCCCTCTACAGTCCAAAAACATGCAGCTCAGGTGAATTACAAATTCAGTCATTTGCCTGTGAATTTGAATGTGTTCGACTATTCTGTGAAAAACTGGCGTTCTGTCCAGTCTGTTTTTCTACCACAGGTATGTGGACATATAGTCTGGGATATTAGGTTTCTGAATAGAAATTTGCAGCTTGGATTCCTTGCCAGTTTTTGTACTCTGTATGGAGAAGTTATATGGAACTTTCTTCATTACCAGTGTTCTCCACTAGATGGCGATATTGTTTTCAGCCAGGCCAGCTGACATCAGCTCATCAAATACATCATATTGGGCTAAAATGATTCCTCACATATTAACATTATTATTCATTCTCTTTCTCAGTCCTTCATCCAGATTAGTCATTTTTGGTGTATTAAGATAACAATTGTGAAGCTGTAGAACTGTAGGCTTGTGTGATGTAAAGGCTGGAAAAAAAATCCTAAAAATTCACAACTCCATTTTTCGTGTCTGCCAAGTATGTATCACAAACAAAATATAAGATTTTAGTTATATTACATAAACAGCACACTAGACAGCACCATTGGCTAAAGAACACACACAATAGAATTAATGGCACAATAAATAAATAAATAAGGGTAAACATTTTTTATTTTGTAAACGTGAAGCCCACTCTGGTTAATATTTTCTTTAAGTTCTCCTTTTAAATTAAAATAAACTTACAAAGAATCTTTAACCCCCAAAATAACTTTCCTTCAATATCAATATATAAAAAAACATGTTTTGTAATATAAACATAATCAAGCTTCAAATTGGCTATATTGTACATTTGTGTATAGGTGGGCGAAACCACATTTTTTATATATTTCCTGCATAAAGAATCCGTATGAATGTGTCCTGATATCTCAGTACAAGCTTTGTCTCCTTTTCCGGAGATACAGTCCAGCAGTAATCCATGTAAACCCAAGCGGAAGTTTGGTTTTCCTCGGCAGGAAATTGTCAGCAGTGTTTTTGTTGCTAGTAGGGACTGTTGTGTTGTGAAAATGGCGACGCCTCGTCGCTCCTCTCAGCAGCAACAACAACCAAGCTCCCTCCTGTCCTCCCCGCCCCGCGGCTCCTCTATCCCCGTCACCCCTCCTGGCTCTCCGCCGGCACCCACCGACGATGCCACCCCGCTTCCCCACCGAGCCGCGATGGAGAACGCGGCTGACGGCGAGGCAACCCCGGCCTCTCCCACCACCACCTCTCCAGCTCTGGCCCTCACCACCAGCAGTAGCAGCAGCAGCAGCAGTACTAGCAGCAGCGCTAGCTCCCCGACCACTACAGAGGGTAGCGGGACCAGCCCTGGCTCTACGCCCGACTCGGGTAGCGGCAACCTGGGCAGTAGCAGCGGTAGCAGCGGTGGAAGTGGTGGTGCAAATGGGGCTTTCAGGGAGCTGTTTGAAGCCTGTCGAAACGGGGATGTTTCGAGGGTGAAGAAACTCGTGGATGCGGTGAATGTGAATGCCAAAGACATGGCAGGACGCAAGTCGACACCCCTACATTTCGCTGCAGGTAATCATAGCGAAAATCACATTTTAAACAAACCGAAGTCTCCGTTTCAGACTGTTTGTTCAGCTGGGGAGCTGCATTCAGGGGGTGGGAGTGACCAGACAAGCTCTTAAACACTGGCCATAAGCAGAGCCATCAGCTCTATGTCGTACCACATCAACTTTTCAGGATGACACTATCAGACAAAATCAGCAGAAAAGAGAAGAAGAAACCAACAGTTAATTTTCCAAATTATTTAATGTATAATTACAATTACCCTTTTGGATTCACTTTTCCTCAGGAAAACATCATATCATAATGATTTTGGTTGATTTCAATCAAATATCTGTTTATTTATCAGCTGTCAAAAGCCATTTCTGATATCTCTTTCCCTTTTTCTCCCTATGGATAATGATAAACACTAGTAGATGGAAAGATGACTTGCATTTTGTTGAACACTTGGAAATGATTTTAAAATTTTTGCACAACATTAAATGGAACCATATTTAAAACAACGTTAAATGAAGCAGGGGCTGACATTTCAGTTTGAGTTTGTCTTCACCAGATTGACTCGATGGACCCAAGGCCAGAAAGAAGCAACACAGCAATGACACATCCCAATATAATATCACTAACATTTCCTCTAACTGTTTTGTATTTAACAACATATTACAGGTATTTTTTATTTATTTATTTATTTTTAAATAAGGTGCTGCAAGGGGCCCATCAGCATCTGAGCTAACTGACTTTTCAAAATTCACATGTAATATTCAGATAGTGTTAAAAACCAGACAATAATCTGTAATATGCATATATTCAGTGAGACTTTTTTTTGACACATGACATGTATTGAGTCTGCGGCAGGTGAAGTTTTTTTTTTTGAAAGCTTGCAGACATGCCTGCAACACAACAACCAAAACAACTCAAACGCATCTATGAATGTAAGCAAACAAATATCATATTTAAACATTTCCCTTGGTTTGGCTTCTATCAAAATAAAGTGTATATATTTTTGCTGCAAGCACAATGTAGAGAAGACTCGAATCAAATGAAGGAAATGATTAAAATAATTATTAAAAGTGCTTGTTTCCACCTCACCTCTTCTGTTTCAGACTTGCCTGTTTTTTTAATTTTTTCATCAGTGCAGACGAAAAAAGATAAAAAAGAAAAACATGCACAGCTGTTTTACATCTCCAGTCTTCCTAATCCTCAGCAGCTTGAACAAGAGCAGATTCTCACGAGTCCCACGACACATTTGTGGTGAAGACACAACAAGCCTCACATGTACAGCACTTTCACAAACAGCTGCTACAAGTGCTTCACAATACAAATAAACCAAAACTGTAAATAGAAAAAAGCCCAAAACAGAAATTAGAATTATTGATTCTTAACATGAAATAAGAATTAAGTTGCAAAGATAAAAGTACAGCTGAAGTGGAACAAGATAAAATGAACTGCATAAAAATCCATAATAATAGACAGTAATAATAACTTGCTTATTTTGAAGGTTATTTTAGCTCTCCGTCTTCTTAATGGATGTGCTGATTTTATCAACATTCCTCTGCCCTGTTCTTGTCTCAGGTTTTGGCCGGAAAGACGTGGTGGACCACTTACTTCAGACAGGCGCTAATGTGCACGCCCGGGACGACGGGGGTCTGATCCCTCTCCACAACGCCTGCTCGTTCGGTCACTCTGAGGTGAGACTTGACGCAGGAACTTTTTTGAGTGTTATTGTTTGTTGATTCTGTCGTTTGTATGTTCAGGATGGGATTATTTTGTCACTGTTGAAAAGAGATTATACTGTCTAAACATGCAAATCTGCTGTGGGTTGTCTGTAGACTATAGTGTGCACAGTTAGCCTCGGAGATCACATTGAGGAAAAAACCTGAACATTCATTTTCACCGGTGCTTTAATATTCTGGTCGTCCCCGTGTCTGATGACGCTTTGGATTATCTGTGACAGATGTGCTAAAGCTTTTTCGTCCCCCTGACCATTAACCGCAGTGATCAATCTAGTGTTTACAGTTTCAGATGTTTTTAGAGGCTTTTAGAGCTTTGTTGGAGAGCACTTTGCAACATTGTCAGAAAAGTGCTGTGCTAATGCAGCTGTATAATCACAGTGATGATTAGCATTGTGATGAGAGTAAAACCACTGTCCAAACTGAAACCAGCCATTCAGCGACTACACATCTGAACCTCTGAAAGTGGTCGTTCGCCTTGGTTTCATGTTTTTTTTTTTTTTTGTTTTGGGTTTAAGTGCAATTTGAACACTTGAACCAAAAGTGTGGTGGGTGGCAGTGTAAAGTTAGGTCTCGCACTGGGGAAAGTCTCTGCTGCAAAATGAACAATTGAACCCTTCAAGTTGGGAAGGAGCTGCTGCCTGAAGTAAAAGGACTAACTGGGTACAAATAGTGGTTTTCATGAGTGAGGGTAAGATGGTGTGAGATTGTCAGGCACATTGCTGTGGTATCGGGTATTGTTGACAATACCTTTTGAGTGCCTGCTGCAATGTTTCTGGAGTGTTGAATAATAATAATAAAAAAAAGAGTAAAATAAAGAGTTTGTACTGAATGCTTGTTGTGACTCTTAGTCTTGCATACTTACTCTTTTATCAGATATGCCATTCTTATAATGAGGAACCGGGCTTATGGTGTGTGCTCCACTAAATGTGGCCAAAATGTTTTGTTGAGGCAACACTGAACAATAAAGCATTGACAAGAATATTTTGTTAACTCAAGAATTGGTTTTGTCAAAAAAAAAAGGTTATATTTCTCAATCTAAAATAATAATAATAAAAAAATATCACTTTGGCATCAACTCTGTACTAAAATATTGGCATTACCACCTAAAAAAACATCTAAAAAATTCAAATTAGTGTTAGCTGAACTTCTTCTACTGTTAGTTTAACCGAGAGCCTTCACAACATGGATCAGTATAACTGTTCGTTGCTTGAGTAGGGGAAAAAAAAACCACACACACACCAAGTGGAAAAGAGGCATCTGAGGTTTGATGTTTTTTGCTAAATAAAGAGTTAATGCAGATGTTCTGTGACTGTTGTTGTCAGGTGGTGTCCTTGTTGCTGTGTCAGGGGGCCGACCCCAATGCTCGAGACAACTGGAACTACACACCGCTACACGAAGCTGCCATCAAGGGCAAGATAGACGTCTGTATAGGTAAGTCCACAAAAGCACGCGCTGCAAGTAAACATGTTTTATGTTGCATGTACGAACCATCATTGTGAGCGGTCAGTATGTTTACAACACATTGGTCAGTGGCATTTGGAGGTCTCGCTATTTTGTCAGCCACAGTAAGACTGAATTGGTTTGACGGGTGAAGGGTCTTTTGGGTGCAGTAAAAGTCACTGGTTCCACTTTGACGTTGCTAATTATGTTTTATCATTTGTGATTGTGAGGCTTTGGCAAGTTTTTAGATTTTAAATCAGATAATAAAGTCAAGTTTGTGTTTTTGAGAAACTTTGTTCTAAACGCCTCCTCCCCCAACCCCTCCAAAGCCGCAAGCTGGAGTTCTCTGTAATCACACAGTAATTTTAGAAACTATAATAAAACACCCACAGACTCTGTGCTATTATTTTCCATTAAGCATAAAGCAGCAAATAACCTGTAAATTGCAATTACTGTGTTACTGCTTGTTCTTTAACCCACACGGGGGGACAAAAGAGCATTGATTTCTACATCCCACAATGTATGAACTCCCCTAATTTAAAAAAGTGAAACAACAACACGGGCTCAGTTCAGACAGAACATCAGCAGCAGCAGCAGCAGTTAATCTTTAAAGGTGAATTGAAGAATAGAGAGAGGCTGTGCCACTGATCCCTGGGGAAAGTCAAGATGCAGACGAGATGCACCTCAGCATGAAAAGCGTCTGAGCAGTCAGTTGTAGGATAATCTTTATGATCTTAATGGAAAAGCGTTGCTCTGTATGAGTAGTAATGACAAAAGACCGCAATGATAGCCGGCGTCACCTTGCTTTGAGTGCTGAGAGCAACAAGGATGAAAAGTTGCATCATTTTAGTCCTACATTACCTGCCGCAGAATGTCTGGGCCCTGAATGACTGAAGGGCAGCAGGGGGCTTTGTGGCGCTCCGATGATCACAAACTTCACCCTGTTGTCAAGGCTCGGAGAATTTATTGATTTATCAGTGATTATTAATGGCGCTGAAACAGAGGTAACAGAACTTGTCTTTGCTGTTGCAGTTGCGTGATGTGCATAAATTGATTTTGCCCTTCATTCATTCAGTCATTCATTCATTCAGGCTTGCTGTTGATTTTCAATCTGAGCAGCACTTAACATCAGAAGCAGTTGAGAAGAACATTTTAGAAATGAGACAGAAAATGTAGACCTATCAGACGCTTAACTTTGCTTTTAGACACAGCAGGACACAAAGAACACAGAATACAAATAGAGGATTTAATTCAGAATATATGATGACACGCTGCGTTACGACCAGTTTCCGCAACACTTCGAGGTTCATAAATTCATTCATGATGCCGGATTTAACAGGCTGACTGCTGTGTGCAGAACTAAATCTCCCAGTTGGTTTGTTTTTAGCTCCATACCAGCTTGTTTTAACCTCTCGATGGATCTCATGCAAGAACCACTTAAATTGCACATAAAAGTGATTGAAGAGCATTTGTGGCTTTCACCAGTTCTCTCATACTAATAATTTTCTCTCAGAGACGAATGAGATTCACAAGTGGCTCAGAACTGTCGTTTCCAGATAGTCTGTCTTTCTCCACAGTGGATTAAAAAAACCACTTGTTTGACTTGAGTGTTTTATTGCCTTAATTTGATTGAATTTGGAGATTAAATAAACAAAAATAAACATAATGTAAAATTAATATAAAGTTCACCATATCGTTATAATTATCGAAATTCACTGAGAGATTTGACAAGTTTTTTCTTTCTTTTTAAATGTATAATTGGCATATTGGCACAGCAACTTATTTCAGGTCCTTCATCAGGAAGAAAGGAGCAATTTATGACAAGTTTGGGCAGTTAAGACTTTGAGGAATCTGACTTTGAAAACTCCTGCGAGCAAACCTCCCAGACAAAGTTGTGATTAAGGATAAGACTGTGAAAATGTTCCTGCATGAATCCCATTGTCTTTGACTTACAAAGAGCGGGATTTGGAAGGAGCATGGTCATGCAAAGGATATGTCAGCTGCCAGCTTTTATCCAAACACTCCACTAATTTCTTTGAGGCCACACTTAGTTTAGGTGTGCCCTACAACAATGTTACGGTGAAGGATACAAGGCGACTCGATCTGTTGTCACAGGCTGCTCTGATTGGCCCAGTTGAGAGCATGATTCAGTGCTGTTGTGTCGCTTCCACTTCCAGAAAATACAGTTTGAAAACATTTTGTGAAGCAGCAGGATGATAAATATGCTATTTTCCACTGGTTCAGAAGGTGATTGTTTTCAGGTGGGATAATTTGAAAAGCCGACGCCTTCACTGCTCCCATCCTCGAGTCACACATACTTCGTTTGCAGCCCTCTGGCACAGAGAGAACCTTCAATACACATTTCAACTTCAAGTCCTGGATGTGAGCATCCTTGACCGCAGCAACAAGGGGACGTTTCTCTGTATTACCTTAGAAAACTAACAAAGCTTGAAGTCTGCCTTACTTTTTCATCTTAAAAATATCAATTTTGAACAAGGCCTTCATGAATCAAAGGCACGGTTCATTTAGATTTAACCAGGGAACATAATCGACATAATGATTGGCTTTGAGAGCAGAAAATCAGAACTCAGCTAGTTAGCAGATGTAGTCCATAAAGTTTTTAAACAGTTGCCTGACAAGTCCAGCGCCTGAACATTTTAGGTAACGTAAAACCACTCGGACAACGTTAAAGGTTTCATCACCGATCACTTTTGTTCTGTTTGGTGTGAAGCAGAGAAGAAAAACTGACTTTGTTGCATTTTTATGGTTTGCAGTCCTAACTGCACAGTTGTAAGCAAAGCAGAGCGTGTAAACAGAATTCAGACGACCACCAGTGGCCTGTGTTTTGGACAGAGTTGTGGTAGGCTGTCATCCTGCCAGGTTGGATTAGATTTGGCAGCTGAATGAGAGTCAAATCAACTCTGATTCGACTGTAGCTGCAGCTCTGCCCTCTTCCCGGGTGTTCAGACAACTTGAGTAAAAAATGAATCTCATTACCAGACCTGCATCTCCTTCAAGCTTAAGGTCTGGAGAAAATCTCATCAACAAACTTGGGATAAGAAGATCTTGAAAATCCTAAGGCAGCCACACGATTGGCTCCGAGTTCGAAAAACCGCCTCCATAAATTACAGTTCAGCGCACAGTTTAACAGTGTCCTCAGTTCTCCTCTGTGTAATTGTACTGGTTATCAATATGACATAACCTACTATAAAGCTGCACCCTTTTCTGACCCTTTTCTTCTGAATTTCTCCAGACATAAGGAAGGTTGATGAGATGGAGTTGGGGTTTGTTTTGATGTATGTTATTAGGGGTCCGTTGTCCGTATCATTTGTTTTTTGATTAATTGTCTGCTGTATGAAATGTCAGAGGAAAAATAAAGAAATTGCCATCACCATTTCCCTAAGCCCAAAACAAAATCTTCTAAATTGCTTTTTTTTTTCCACATCAAAAGATATTCAGAATTATGATATAAAGCAAAACAGGGTTTTAGATTTGAGAAGCTGGCAGCAGGAAATGTTTTTTTGTATATACGACTTATAAATAAATGATGAACAGACAGAATAGTTTGAGCACCACACGGCATATGAACACCATTTTTACCTAATCAGTTTTCGGTGTTTCATATTGTATATTTGTTGCCAAAAGAATTCGGACAATGTTGTTGCAAAGTGAGCAAAGGCAAATGCTTTGCAGGTCTGCTCAGTTTT